AATGTAGTTCCTTAAGGAACAACGCATGATTACCCTCTGAAATAAGCGCATACACCTGCTGCTACCTGCGTAAGATTATTGTCACTCTTAAACTGACAAACTTTTATTCAATGGTTCTGTCAGTTATATCAGTCTTATCCTATAAGACGTATGCCAGTCAGAGAGCGTAACGTGGAGGCCTGACAAGTAAGACTTCCAGCCACAGATATTCAGAGTTCCAAATCCCTTGGATTTCGTTGAGGAGAGTTCATGTCCAGTCGACATCCTGCAAGCTCATCAACTAGTTCCTACTGTTTCCTTATGAGCGATGAGATGTTCCGACTTGTGACCGTGAGCTCCCCCATCAGGCATCGTTCCCTGGTAACTTATATGACGTGCCAGGATGACATAACTCTGCCTGGTTCTTCCGATTATCAGAGGTAACGACTTCACTGCTGACTGGTATGTTCATCATCTTCGAGTAGGCCTTCAGCAATTGTCGCCGTAGTTCTACGACCCAACCGTTAGAACGAACGAAGCAAATTCTTATTGCTTACTTTTGCGGTCTGCCTCATTTCCGCAGCAAGCTGCGTGATCCTTAGTAACTTGGATGATGACCTAATCGGTATGGCGCTTGAGAGAGTCATTACCACAAGTGGTCGGTTGGCTAGTTTTGAAGGGGAAGCACCCGCTGTGCCGAACTCTTCTCATTCGGATTTTTTACAGAAAATAGTGGAGTGGAGCTGCTAGTGGAATAATCAAAATTAAATATTGTCTTAAGTTATTGCGTTGTAAATGTAAGTATAAATTCCCCTTATCGGGGTTCAGAATATTAGTTTCAATTGCCAACGAACATTAGTCTTCAACAAGTCAAAATTTTGTTTGATACGTCGAAATATTGTCATTTGTTTGCAGTAAATGGACGTAGTGAACAACTAGAGTAGTTGCAATTTACCATGAAAGATTTGTGCTTCTCGATATATTTAAACATGGAGGTGGATTCTTTCAAGCTGGAGTTTGCTTCGAAATTCGACGAGTCCTTGATATTTCTCTTAATATTTCGCATTTATTTAGTTTTGTAGGAAAATATATGGTACAATATTTTCTTTGCAGCATTTCAGATATTCTTCTAATCTCCTGGCGAGCCAGACTTTCAGAGATAATGATTATATGTGCGATCGGATCGATCGCTGGCGTTTTTTCGTCTGACGTTCCTGTAGATCGCTGCGTGTGGTACGGTGAATGTAACGCAGAAAGCGATACCCTGAAACAGAATTGTCCGTACGATGGTCATGCGAAGAGTCTTGACGACGAAGATAAGAATGTTCTACAGGATATTTGTCCAGATTTTGTCAGTCGTAAGTCGTTGTTATTTTTAAATCTTGGTGATCAGTGATCTACGTTATCATCTGAAGGATCAGATGGCTTCTGCTGCGATCGAAACCAGGTTCGCACTTTGCGTAGCAGTACACGACTGGCCGCATCGCTTTTCGGACGTTGCCCCGCGTGCTCTCGAAATTTCGCCTTGGTCTGGTGCGAACTTGCATGCAGCCCTGTTCAGTCGTCTTTCCTTAATATCACTGGGTTCGGATACAGCGCCGAAACAAACAAAACGTACGTGACGAACATTCACTTCTACGTGAGCAGGACCTTTGCCGAGGGAATATTCAACTCGTGCAAAGAAGTTCAGTTTCCAGGAATTAGTGGGAAGGCCATCGACTTAACTTGCGGTAATTCTGAAATTTCTGTTTGTGAAATGAGTATCTGTATGTTCACCGTGTAAATCGTCTAACGGCGTGTTTGAAACTAGTTCTTTGCTTCTGTCTTCCTTAAGTGATGTTTGTTGTTAAGCATATTCTGTTTCTTATTTTAATGCTTTTTACTGATGATTTTTGGAGAAGATTACATCTTTAGAGTTTCAAATGATGCGTATGCTATAAAAGTAGTCAATGTGACGTTACCCAATAAATAATCTTCAGCTTTTTGATTCTGGGCCCACAGTTATATGGATAGGTAATTGCGGTGCCTTTTTTGTCATAAAACGCACGGTAACAGCCTTCCGGGACCTCGTTTCAACGGATTTTCCAATTTTTAAAAGTAATTTTTGAAAATTTGATGATTGGTCCATGTGGACTAGAATCGCCCTGTCGAGCGTAGCAGGTCGCCGGAAAAGGCATTAAAACATGTGCATGTGGGCTTGTTAACTAAGATTAACAAGATCTAAGTTCCGGCACCATTTTTCTTACAAAAAGGCACTGGGTATTTCAACGATTCTTGGTTCAGGGCACCAAGTACAACACAGACCGTAGCATCATCAGTGCTAGGCTCATGGGCCTATGTGGCGAAACGCGTCGGCATTAAACTGTTGTACCATCTGTTGTATTCGGTGCTTTGAACCATGAATTGTTCAAACACCTATCTACGTGACGTTAACCACTTCGAAAGGTTATTATGGTGAGGGTAGAAAGATTGTAACACAGTATTACTGCACATCTGAAGTTGTTTATTCGGTTGGGTCCACAGACCCATGGTACTTTAGACAAGCGTGTACAGAGTACCAGTTCATAAAACATGACTGGTAACGAACAAGCTATCTATCAATAAAATGATGCGAAACGTATTTATGTACTGCAGAGGAAAAATTGCGACAGCGTTGTAGTCTTACAGCAGTTTGGATAAATTGTGCGTTCGCCGATATTCCTTTAGTATTCAGTATTTATTAATATCGTGCAGGAAGAAGTTTTTGCTTTAAGCGTCCGCATATATACAGTGTACTGCAACAAGTGACCAATTCCATTATTATGTATTATATAGAAAGCAAA